CAAGGCTTGATTTTATTAGAGAAATTGAAGAAAATTATGTTCTTTCAACTAATTATAACAAGTTTAACATCGGATGAAACTCTGCTCAACCCGACACAGTCTCTAGCTCGCATATGCCTCTCACTTTTTTAAACTCGTTTTCACTTATAATTTATGTTTTTCCTAGTTTTTCAACTTATGTTTTATTCCTGCATTGTACGATGGCTGGTCAGAAACGATTAAAACTAGATGGAGAAGTTTCTCGTTTTGCTAGGCAAAATGCAAAGATCGAATCACAGAAAGCAGAGGAATCAATACACGTACTCTATATGGTCGCTTGTGAACGTCACTACACGTTCATAGTATAGTATAGTATAGTATAGTATAGTATCTTCGGCATTAAATAAATAGGCCTGGATAGGCCTGTCGCCGATTCATGTACTTTTCTTGACTAGACTGGCCTTACGGACGGTAGATTTAAATCGCTTCTAAGATATCAGTTGTTCCGTAGGGTACGAGGCATTTTAAGACTGAACATATGCTCATGCATGGCCTTGTCTAGTCTGTTCTTGGTGTTCATAGGCGATTCGGGGTTTCGATTCGAAAAAGGAGCTACTATATGCGCTTCTACTCAGGAGAATCTTCAATGGAAGCAGGAATTTTAGTTGAATTACAATTGAAATAATTGCTAGTTTTGAATCGATGAAACTATTCATAACTTGAGATCCTCGATTTTAATATTTGATGTCTAATGGAAAAAAGTTATTTCACTAACCGTAAAAATTCTTTATGAATTAGTATGCAGATTTCACTCAGACTTTTGCTTAAAAATTATAACATTGTGCTCATGGAAACCCATTGGCAGAATATTTTACTTATAGATTTTACTTATAGATCTACCTCCTGTCAAGACGCTACAAAACTCTTGAGCTCGTGTCGTCTGAAGACATAAAAATTAATCTACTATCCCTTTGCTGAGAAATTTAGGTATAGCATCCGAGAAATGTAGTTACTGTTATTAATTCTATTAAACGCAAAAATGCAAGTGTAAGCTAGGCACCTATGTTATATGCTAAACGATTTATCGGACTCCTTATCTCAGGTTCATCTCTCATTGCAGCACGTTATGTAAAGAAGCTCTGATATGGGGTGCGATATATTTTTATAAAGTAATGCTAATTTGTTATCATCATCGTTATGAGGTCATGTTGTACGAGCCTGCCAGTGATAAAACATACGAATATCAATTAGGTCCCACCTTCAGTGTGCTACCAGATCACAACCTGCGATACAGATCACAACTCGATGAGTGCGTGATTAAACAATTTTAATTAATAATTCAACAAGAAAATTCAAACAAGAACTTTATCGCCTGTAATAGACTATCCCTAGGGGTTACAAGTTTAAAACCCATACTCAAAATAAAGTGATGGAGACGCTGAGCCGCCGGTCAACATTATTTGGCATCTTTATGGTCGCAGCAGAACTGGTGAGTGTTTGTTAAGGAAGTTTTTTACTGTTATGGAAGTAATTAATTCCAGTCTTTGTAGCTTGGACGACAGTCTATATTCCCTTGTATGTATTTATTTGAATTGAAAGAGTTCAAAACGGTGTCATTATCATATAAGTTTAGAATTAAAGAAATATTAAGGAAGTTTTTTACTGTTATGGAAGTAATTAATTCCAGTCTTTATAGCTTGGACGACAGTCCATATTGCCTTGTATGTATTTATTTGAATTGAAAGAGTTCAAAACGGTGTCATTATCATATAAGTTTAGAATTAAAGAAATTTCAGCTAATGCTAATGTAATCATGAGTCAGATTATTATTGCATCAGCTAATCTAGTTAGTTAATAAAAGTTGATTATGAAACTGAAAGTAACCTAATGTCATGCAAAAGAAGAGATCGAGGAGGAGCTGTTGCATGAAAGTTTTAGCAGAATTTACAATGTGAGTTACAATGTTAGGTCTTCATCTGGTCCTGAAGACAATTCATGAGGAAAAAACAATGTGCATTTAATTTTGTGTGTTAATTTTACTGTATCAAAGATGTCGGACGCTGCTACTCTAGTCGCTTCGATATTAAACATTATTTTCATTTCATGATTTTTAAAATATTTTTCGACGTTTTTTCGGAGTAACTTTGTCTGTTTTCTGCAGTGAATTTTTTTATCGTGGTCCGCTGATTTCACACAACATTTTGATGCTAAATTAGTTGGAGAACTTAGGCGGAATTTGTTGATATGATAACGATTTATGACTCGTGTTCTCATCAGCGGTTCGATATACTTGTAAACGAATCGGTTTGGTCCAAGTTTGCAGCCGAAAATTCTGAAATAGTAACTGGAAATTAAAAGTTAATGTATAAAAGAGTATATAATTATTTGTACTTCATTTTTTTGTGGATAGTAGAAAAACGTCGAAACTCTGTGCGTAAACGAAAATTAAGGAAGACAATATATATTTTTTTGGGGAGCAATTGTCGGCTGGTCAGTATTCGACAATAAGCCAAAAAACACTGTATGATTCTAGCGCTATTATATACGGTATAGTATTCCTCAGAGTTTTCGTCAATGCTGGTTAATGCATAAGATTTCGACGAAGATCCATTGATGCTTTAAACTACACTACATCGTCAATAAATGTGTGACTTGGTACTCTTGAAAATTATTTGTATTTGAACATGTTAATCTCCTACTGATTTTTTGGATTTTTTTTGCGATTGAAACATTACATTTTATATTCAAAGTAGCCATGCAAGCTTGCTGTCACGAATATTTTGTTTCTTTCTTTTAGTAATAATTTTATATATTATTTTGACTTCCTGTGTCTTTGCAATGCGAACATTAGAAATTGTAAAATGAATCTACATAAAATTTGCTGTTAAGTGAAAATTAATATAATTATTTAGGAAGTAAGCATAATTATTTTTTTCGAATTTGAAACAAATTTTTCAATAAGGTACTTTCTAAATAAAGGTTTGTTTGGATTGCAATTATTCTCCAACAAGTATATGTATTCACTTATAAATAGGATTATAGGATTAAGAATTAACATCATCATATGTACAACTTAACTGTGTGAGAAATTCTTCATTTCCCACCGTCAATTTGTGTATATGCTAGGGTTTATTTACGGGATCTATTGTTGGCTTAGAATTGCTTAGAATTCCGCTTCTCTAACTTCATCTGAAGAAAAGGTATTTAGTCGAGATCAGGGGTTCTGCCGCGGGTCTTGGGAGTCTTCATCTTCATTAGTTATCAATTGTATCAAATGATATTTGCCGACAGTGCCAGTCCAAAGTTATACCGCCTTCAAGCAGTGTTCGAAGTCTGTTTAAATTCATTATTCATAGTTCAAAACCTTAACCGCCGTTTTTTTTAACCGGTGAACAAGTAACTTCCCGAAGTTCAATTATTCCTACAATCTTTCTATGATCCCTGTTTCTCTATCCCTTGGTTTGTATGAATGTCGTGTGAATTTCGTTTTGTTTATTTATTTTTGCTCTATTAAATTCATTTATCAAATCTGTTGGGAAGTTGGACCTATAGTTTAAGGATACAATCAAATCTATTTAAATTCAAATTTCATGCTTTAAATTAAAATGCTAATTCTTTCAAATCAAATCGATTCCTTTTTTTGATGTTCTTCGCTCTAGAAGTGCGTTATTTACTTTACGTGACATGCGAAGATCATTATTCAAACCTTAGTCTTAAGTCTATCTCTCTAATTTCTAAAGCATCAAAACCTTCAAATGTTCTTGCTATTTTTTCACGTCCAACTTCCCACCCCTAAAACTAATTTCCACTATTTCCCATCAATTATTCTTCCTTCATAAAGTGATTACCACACTGGGCATTTAAACCTCAGGTTCGTAGTGTTTTCCGTGCAAAAGTGAAATTTTGATCATTTATTTAAAGTATACTTTATTGAAACTTTCGCAGGATTTATAATTTGAATTCACTTCTTTACAGTATCCGAACCCGAGACAGGCTGGCCTTAATTTATTTGTACGTCACGCATTCGTCACCACTTTCTTTCATCGAGTGACCAACCCGCCATCTTCACCTTCACGTTCCCATATACTGAAGATTGCACTTTTGGATTCGGCTCTCATTGACTATTTTCGCCTTTACTATGAAGATCAATCATTCAGTCACTCAAAAACTGCTTTGAAGAAATTAAAATAAAAGCATACTTGATTATTTCTTTGATTAACTATCTGTCGATTATGTGAATACCTCACAACTGCGCGCGATTCTACTAAGGTTATCATAGTATTTTCCTAAAGAGAAAATCGTTAAAAAAGTTAACGATAAAAGATTATGATTTCTTCTATTTGTGCTACAATTAAGTTACAATGAAACGCCTACTGTATTTAATAGTAAAGGAATCATATTATTAATTCCAAGGATGTTCTATTGTTGATTTCAGGCTACTTAAAGTTCATTATTATTGTATTTTATAGCAATTTATTAATAATACTTATTTCACAATTATTCATTTTGTTCTTGACAGATTTTGGCTGCCAGAGGTCAAGGTGAGGAAGCGTCAATCAGAAGATTAGGTTTTTTTAGATTTATTACATTTAGCGTCATTACCGAACCGAATTTCGTTCCCGAAATAATGATTTGATAGACTGACTGGGAATGGGATTGGCCTATTAATTCTATAGATATTTATACGTTATTACACATATGTTAAAGTAATAAAGGCATGAAAAGTTATAGGTTAGAAATTTTTAACACAGAATATGAGTAGTGTGTAGAGATTTAAAATGTACGAGTGCTTCCTTATGACCGTTTGGACGATACAATGCTAATTTTAGCCTATTTTGGCTCACCGATAGCTCTTCTTGAAGCCTTCACCACGGAGCCGATGCCACCTGCTATATTCCTAAGATGAATTAGGCGTTGTATAATGATTATTTAAACTTACCCATTTCAATTACGCTAGTTGAAAAGTTTGTTCACAAGATTGCTGCTCGAGGTGAGTAGGGAGTGATGACAGCGTCAGGCTAACTGAGAGCAGACGGGTCTAGTATCGGCCCGGAGGCTTCTGATGTTTTGTGTCCAGGTCTTGCAGGTGCGAAGAAATGTGATGGTTACTCTGAATAATTAATGCAGTTTAAACTTGTGATCAACGCGAATGCACGGCGTGTTGTAGCTCCAAAAATGGACTTGTGACATTTGTGTATTAGTCTCGTGAACGTTTTTAGCACATTCAGGAAAATGTTGAACTGTAGTTTGATATAAATGAGTTATATGGAACTATTCCCATGTTTATTTTCAATAATAAATTAGTAAATTTACGACAGTTAAGTTCCAGAATTTTTAAACTCTATACAAGGTACGATTGCAGCTTGAAATAATATTAGTCTATCTTTTTTAACAGCTCCTCCGGACGTATCCTGTTCACAAGAAGAGGACTTGAGCCTCAAGGTGCACTGGACTACGCCATCAACGACTTGTGAAATTTCGCAGTATAGCGTAAACTATACAGCCGCGGTCATGTGGTCCGAGGAAGTCTACAAGAACTACTCTCTCGTCGACGCGGCGACGTCGGAATACGTCCTTCAACGGCCAATCCCATACACTTTTTACATCTTCGAAGTTAGAGCCGTTGTGGCAGGCTGTGGTCACGGTGAACCTCGTTTTTGTCCAGTGAAAACAAAAGAAGAGCGTGAGTATAACTACTGTAGGCAAAGCTAACATTGATGGTACTCGTAGATATCTGTCTAGTATCTGCGATTATATCTATATATTACACGACGTATAATCGATAAACTTGAAGTCTAACCAACGAATGGACATTTTCTGATTAATACCGAATGTTGTTCTTAATAATGGATGGCTGAATTTGTAGGAACAAAAATGAAATTATTCACAATAAAAATTAGTCATTGTGTACCGCTGTTGATAGTTCAAGGATTTAACATCAGTGCTGTGTTCTGAATAAAATATGCTTAGTTAGAAATCTACATGTCGCATCTGAATCTATATACTTGTTCCACGTTCACACGAAGATGCAATGAAGCAGCGCTACCTGCGGCTTTGCATTAATGATTTTCTAGAATATATCATAGAAGTAAACTCCGATAGAACCAGATTGGGCGCGATAAAGAATTTTAGCTCTTTAATAACTTGGTTGTTCAATATTCAGCCCCGTCCGCCCCGGTGTCGCTGAGAGTGACAGCAAATACAGCGAAGAGCCTGAGCATCGCATGGAAATATCCGGCAGAAATGAACGGTAACTTCAAGGATTTCATCATTCGGTGGTACTCCAAAGACGACCCCAACGACTTTCTCACCACTGATCAAGTTTCTTACACAATCGGGAGCTTGACGCCTTGCACCGAGTACAACGTTACCGTGGCAGCCAGGAATACAGCAGGGGAGGGGACCCCGGCCCAAACTCATGGGGCGACTAGCACTATCGGTAAAAAGTTGCCATAATTATTTTGCATGATATATTTAGTAACATATATATATATTCCTCCAAAAAATTTCGTGCCGCATCATGCCATACCATAAATAATCATATGTATTATCTCTACCCATATCGTATAATTCGCAGCATTGACTTTATACTAGCGCGCAACTTTAACCTTCTGAAAAAAAATTAATACAATGGAAAAGCCTAGGAGCACGCGCCAATATGTCCACACACAAATTTTTTTCTGCGTCCACATTCATGAATTTGTTTCTAAACCTGCCAGCTCCCGACCACTTGGTGTGCGTCCAGAATGCCGAAGACTTAAGTCTGAAGGTAAGGTGGGATGCTCCCAACCCCGTCAGCGGCTGCACCGTCGTCAAATACGAAATTGCCACCACGATCGACGTGATCTGGTCTGGAGAAACATTCAACAACGACTCATCCGTGGAAGCATCGACGACTCAATACGTCGTGGAGAATCCTGTATCATACTCCAATTACACTTTTGGCGTCAGTGCTGTAGCAGCGGGTGATGTGAAGGGACCGGCAGTAAAGTGTGGTGTCACGACCGCTCAGACCGGTGGGTTTGACATAAGCCAGTCGCTGTATAATGATTTATTAACTATTAATCGATTCATATATATTTTTATTACTTATTGCCGTTTATTTCAATTCATTATATGTTAAATGAAGTGCTTTAAAAATTAGCGTTCATTGTATCATATGACACTGCAAAATGATTGCTACAAAAACATTCCAATTGTATAAGAAATATGAATAATCACTTCCAGTATTAGAAATGAAACCAATGTATCATTGAAGACGCTCTTCACATGACAACTTCGAATGCCCGGCTATGTCGAAGTCAGGGATGCTCTTCTCGATTTCAATGTCATTACTTTGTATCAGGAGGCCCCATTTTAAATTATCATTATGATAAATCATTGACCATTTAACTAAAATAACTAAAAATGAAATTCATTCTGAATAATAATACTTTCGATGCTTATTTTAGTGCCCTCTAAATAGACAGACAACCACAATAGGATTTTTTTCTGTGACTTCATCGATTAACCGAAATCTGTATGTAAAGGATAATGATAATGTATTCAATTCATCATGATTGAATATGACCAAAATTTCTAATTCAAAAAGCAGAATAGCCGGGTCAGGCTTTTGAAAAATCTGCTCCAATCAATCAGCTCTGTTACGATTGAAGTTGACATAACGTCATTCAGAATAATTGCCCCATGCTATATTTGTTCATTCTGACCACAATGCAACGATGTTGATGGAAACCTTTGTTGCTGAGGCGCAAACTTTGATAATATTGTGTTAAAACGAAACGAATTTACTCTCATTGGATCGTGGCATAGAGTTCAACATGAGATTCTGCATAGTCCTCACTCGTTATTGGGGGCGTGTCTGCGTTGTGGCGAGACCCCTCTGGGAGGGCCAAATTGCCGCTATTTCAACCTCACTGGGGAGCCGTGGGGAGATGGCTACGAACAGACGAGATGGCTACCCGGTTGGATTGGACCAACTGTTTTTTCTGATGGGGACTTGGAGACCCGGCTACCAAGTCCCTGTACCTTCTCATCCTGCTTGGTGGTGACATCGAGCTAAACCCGGGCCCCATCACCTTGTACCCTACCTGCACCAAGCGTGTGACATCTGCTCGCTGGGTAGGGGATCTGTCTTGTGCAACAATTGCGGAAGCTGGCTCCACCTCACGTGCACCTCGCTTTCAACCCTTGGACACCATATACCAGCAGCTTGCGCTGCTCATTGTGCCGCCCTGTGACCATAACATCTGCACCGCAAGTCCTACAGCATACACCGGCTCCCCACGTGCCGGTGCGCCCTCCAGCTCCTCAGCCGCCAACTGGGCCCTCTTCCTGGGCCTCCCTCCCCGCCTCGCCAGGTCCCTCCCGATCGACCACAAGCCAGCACACCGCCGACCCGCCATCAAAACCTTAACATCCTACAACTCAACATTGACGGCCTACGAACCAAGCATGTTAAACTCAAACAATACATACACTCCAACAAAATTCACGTCGCCATGATACAAGAGACAAAGCTTAGGCACTCGCACAAGACACCATCCATCCCAAACTACACAGCCATCAGACAGTATAGGCAACACGGGGAGGGTGGAGGATTGATTACGTACATCCACCTCAGTGTTGCCTATCTGGAGAAAACTCAGCATATCAGAACTCTAGCACAAGTAGACAGGCACACGGAACTACAGGCATTTCACATCCAGACAGGTCACAAAAAACACATTACCCTCATCAACATATACATTCCTCCAGAACACTCACCGGGTCTACCGGCCCGCTACACTCCCACACTCCATGCATTAAACACACTACCAGACCTGATCCTTGGAGGTGACTTCAACGTAAAGCATCCAGACTGGTACAACCCACAAGACACCACTGCTCGAGGGGTAGAGATCTGTAATCAACTAGACCTGCTCTTCATCCTAAACAATACACTCACTCCCACGCACATACCACATCAGGCCCTATATAGATCCACCCCCCCCAGATATCACCTTCTGCTCCCCATCACTATCACAGGATTTCCTGGGGAGCAGAAACAGACCTCTCATCCGACCACTTACCCATTATCATCACACTGCCATCCACCAAAGGCACCAACTTGCACACATCACAAACCATTCGCAACTACAACAGAGGCTCCTGGGAAGAATTCACCAAGGAAACGGAGGTCCGCTTCCAGGAGCTGAAAACACAACCCATCATCAACATTGACCACACACTCACCCACTTCAACACTATCATTGCCGAAGCTGATAAGAAATATGACCCCAAGGGAAACAGGAAAAAGTACAACCCTAATTTCACACCTGATATCTCCCGTCTCATTAGAACACTCAACAACCTGCGATGCATACCAACACAACACTCCCAGGCAACTAAAGACCACATCCACGAACTGAATGAACAAATCAAAACCTCTATAAGGAATAAACAGAAGCAACGCTGGGAAGAGTTCGTGGCGACACTAGACCACAGGACCGACTCCTCAAAACTATATAGAACAATTCGCAGCCTCACTAACTCCAACAGTGGCCTCACCCCATCTCACTCGGCAATTACCTCCTCGGATACCATCCCTTCCCGCAAACAACAGTCCAACATATTGATAAATTATTTTGCTAGCATCAGTCACCTACCCAAGCACAGGGCAGACAGACAGATTAACTGGCGCAAACACAAATTTACACTAGCGAATAACTACATCCTAGCCACAGCCTCAGACACCTCACGCGTCATAAAACAGCTCAAAAATTCTTCAGCCATGGGGCCAGACAATATCTCAAACATTCATCTGAAACACCTCGGCCCGCATGGTATCAACACTTTCACAAATATAGCCAACTTTTCATTTGCCAACTGCAACATACCCTCAATCTGGAAAACCGGCAAAATCATAACTCTCCTGAAACCGATCAAACCCCTTACCGAGGCAGCCTCTTACAGGCCCATTACACTCCTCTGCACACCATTCAAAGTTTTAGAGCGCCTCATACTCTCCATAACCACGCCTCACATTCTCCTCTCACCCACACAACACGGTTACAGAACCCATCACTCCACCACCACACTCCTCACCAACCTCACACGACGTATACAAGATGGCATTGACTCCAAGCGACCTGCACATCGCACACTTCTGATCACAATCGACATTAGCAAAGCATTTGATGCCATCCCACGCTTCCCACTCACAGACAAAATCTATAAAACAACCACACCGTCAAGCATCTTCTGCTTGATTGCCCGAAGCTGGCAGCATCTATAGGCTCCGGGCAGGCATAACATCCATCGCGCAGTTATGGTCCGAGCCGGCTCGCGCGTGTCGGCTTTCCCGCGAGGCGCGAGCTTCCTGGCGTGACCGGGGCTCGGGGAACATCAACAACAACAACAACATAGTCCCGGTCTTAGTGCTTAGAACAACAAACAATATCAACGCAGGTGACGCGAAACACTTCAGCTACGTCCTTATCACGAGTTAACGTTATAATTGGCTTCTCGCAACATTTCTTTAACTCAGGCAGGATCTGCGCTATAACCAAGATTTTAATTCATATTACATTTCCGAGCCCATTTTCGGTCCCATTAATTGCCGAAAGATATGCTAGCAAACAAATTATTCAGTATGGATACACACCCATTACACACATCGAGAAAATTCATTATCCGAAAAAAGTATGTAATCAGAGACGGATTTTAATGACGAACAGACAGAAAAAAATAGTATGTTTTTGTTTGAAAACGCTTCATCTTGACCATAATGAGATTGTCACTCGTGACACGAAAAACTTCTATACCTTAATAATTCTGGTGAGGTTGACACGTCAAACTCTGCTTTGTTTATAAGACAAACTTAGAGGTGCTTTTACGACAAAGCCTATGGTGTTGATTCGAAGAATTTTGTGGTGTCGATACGAAAACGACGTATTGTTAAAACGAAACCTACATTGGGTAGGTACGAAAAATCATTTGATGTTGCTTCGAAAAACCTCATGGTGTTGCTTAGAAAAAAAAAACTTTCCGGTGTTGATACAGAGAAGCCCTATAGTATTAGAATGAATTTCAAGCTTTAGTCTTCAACTTGCTCTCCGACAGCTCCGAGCGCTCCCCAAAACTTGGCGTTATTGGAGGCCCGGAGTGACGCCCTCGTCGTGCAGTGGGACGCGCCTGCGGAGCTCAACGGCGTCGTGGTCTCCTACTTCGTCAGCAGCAGTCATGGTGGCGAGGCTGTCACCAA